TAATAATAATAATAATAATAATCGCTTTAAAACAATAATAACACTAATAATAATTGGTAATAAAAGTATGCTGAAAAAGCATCTGGTTTTGTAGAAATCTGTATAATATATTGCGTTGTAATGTCAAGAAACTAGGGGAAATTTTCTCTCAATTTAATTATCACCTTTTCCTAAGTGGGCTTATCTTTCTGCATTCTGCAGTCTAGTTCTATTCTTCCCCATATCTCTCTGCTTGTTTGCCCGTCTATAAATCTATCAGTCAGTCGGGTCTTTTATCTCTCCTTTAGTCTGCCCATGTGTCTGTCTGTCTGTCTGCTGTCTGTCTGTCTGTCTGTCTGACTTTCTGCCAGTCCGTCTGTCTGCCTATTTATTTGCCTGTCTGTCTTTGTGCCTGTCAATTTGTCTGTGTGTCTGTTTATTTGTTTGTCTGTCTGCCTGTCTGTGCGTGTACCTGCCTGCCTGCCTGCCTGTCTGTCTGTCTCTCTGCTTGCCTGCCTGCCTCTCTGTCTGTCTGTCTGTCTGCCTGTCTGCTCCAGGTTTCCTCCTCTCGTCTTTCTATGCTCTGCATGCTCCTGTGCTATTTTTGCTGATTTCACTTAAAGCTTTTCACCTGAATAATTCCACGTTTGATGTGAATCTGGCTGAGCGATGTAAATACTGTATATCTCCCAACCCGTAACTCACCCCCCTCCTCTTTTGCCATTTCATCCCTTGCATAAGAAACATTATTGTTAACCCGAGGAAGACATAAATATTCCAACACAAGATTTGAAGCAGATAATGTTTGTTGAGAAATGAATTAGTCTGTCGTATCTCTGCGAACTATCCTGCTCTTCGGAATTTATTAGATCGTAAAGGCGCCCTCGATCAACATTGCAGCATATCAACAAAATTTCGAAAAAAAATAAAAATCATGAATGCTGTGGAGTTTGATCATCATCATCATTGCCTTTCTCACCCTGGATCAGGATATAGGCCACGAACAAACACTCTCCACCTTTCCCTATCCTGGGCTAGTCGCTTGATGTCACTCCACGTCTTCCCATTTTTCTGTACATCCATTTCCGTGACTCTTCTCCAGCTTCCACGTGGTCTTCCCCTTGATCTTTTACCCTGTTGGTTCCAATCTAACACTTTTTTTTATTATGCAGCTGCTTGACCCCCGAGCTGAGCTGCTTCTGTCCAGACTGTATCCAGTGGGTTTCGTGGAGTTTCATGAGGTACATCTATTGGTTGTAGTCTTATTCCTCCTCTTAAAATAGATACGGGGATAATAGCGAATTAAACATAATATTATTGTTCTAGGCGAAAAAACAGCAACAAAATAACAACAATTTTTGGCTTCGAATGTTCATGTACAATGATAAATTGGTACTTTAGAATTACAGAGCTCTATCTGACTTTCTAGGCTGTTTTGAGCCACTGAGACCATAAGGCCATTAGAAACCAAATGTTTTTAAATCTGTTCTATCAAAATCGTACGATCATTCGGAGTCGTTATGAAAATAATCCAAAAAATTGCATTGAAAAAAGCTTTTATATAATGTGAAACTTTTACGTCAAGTTTCTCTAAACTAGGTACAGGGCAGATAGAACTTTGTGATTTTTGGGGGTCGAAATGGCGGCGACGATATATTTTTATGCAGCAACATGCTGCAGCGATTGAGTCCTGAATAAACACTTGTCTTTGTTCAGGCTCTGTGACGGGCCTGTTGGAATGTACCAGAGCGTACAAGCCTGTCGGTATCTGGGGGAGGAATCTTGGCTACCGTTTCGCTTGAGATTTTGGCTGACGAAGAATTATTATACGACATGTATGTATGTACCAGATAATAAAATGAAAAAGTCTGCACGCTTATTCACACACACACACACACACACACACACACACACACACACACACACACACAC